AGTTTACTTTCCAAAAGCGCAGATTTTTTGTTGCAATCTGGATTGTTTTCCTGCTGATTTAAAACCCAATGCCAGCTTGACCAAATTATCTAAACATGGGCAAATAAACCATTGATAAAACATTCATTTCTGATAGCTGCACTCACCTTCTCTCTGATGTAATCCCCCTGCATACTCACCAAACTATGCAGCACCACTCTCTTGAAAGTTAATGACACCCAGTAGAATTAAGCTCACTTTCTTTGAGCCCTGGGCAAACAGGAAATGCGGCAGAGAGCAGAGCCATGTCATCATGTACACCACTCGCAGCATTTAGGAGGAGGGTCAAGAGGACTGGTGAAATCACCAGACCTAAGACAACTTCAAGGGTTTAAAGGGTCTTAAAGCATATTTCTACTTTTTCAGGTAAATTGGGATAACACCTACTTTATACTTGTTACATGTTCTTAATCACATTGCATAACAAAAATTGCTGCTTATATTTTAAGTGCTTTTTATTTGCTTTAATATCCTACCTAGCTTCCCCGCTCTCCAATGTTAGGATGGGGCTGTATGAATTTATGTTTACTCTATATAACCCTGTTTGTACAGTCCTGGTAGATTTCATTGTTTTATCAGTTCACATTTGAAAAGAAGCTCACTCTATTGCCTGGAAACTCTGAACAGATTTTGCTAAGGCCGTCTTAATATCTTTATTTCTCAAGCTATAAATAACTGGATTTAATAATGGCGTGACCACAGTGTACAACAATGATAACATTTTACTCAGGTTCCCTAGCTGTCCTCTTGTAGGCAGCACATAAATAATGAACAGTGTACCATAAAAAATAGAGACCACAGTCAGGTGAGAACTGCACGTGGAGAAGGCTTTCTGCCTGCCCGTTGTGGATGGAATTCTTAGAATGCTGTGAATAATCTTAAGGTAAGATATGATAATAAAACCAAATGGAAAAATAATCATAGGAATACAAAAGACAATCATTTCCAACTTAACCATGGAGATGTCAGAACAAGAGAGGTCCAGAAGAGGTTCCATATCACAGAAAAAATGGTCAATAATGTTCGGTCCACAAAACCATAAACTGTACACTGTTATTAATTCAACCAGTGACACAGAAATGCTCAGTAACCATGAAAGAACAATCAGTTGCATGCAGAAAGTAGGTTTCATGACAATGTGGTACAGTAGAGGGTTACAGATAGCCATAAATCGATCATAAGACATCACGGTGAGGAGAACACAGTCATAAATTTCTGTAGATATGAAGAAATAAAATTGAGCAATACAGCTTGAAAATGACATGGTGGCGGATTTATTTAGTAGAACATATAGAAAATTTGGTACAATATCTGTACTCAGCAGGATGTCTGATATGGAGAGTTGGGTGAGAAAGAAGTACATTGGAGATTGGAGGTTCTTGCTGTAGGACACCAGAGCGATGATCTGGAGGTTCACAAACATTGTCACACAGTAAATTAGGAGAAAGAAACTAAAGAGGACCATTCGGAAGAAAGGAGACACCTGAAATCCCAAGAGTATGACTCTGGTGATCATAGTCAGATTGTTGTCAAATGTTTCCTTTTAGATACAAAAGAAAGAGACTTGTTTTTATACAAACAATGGTTCTGGACATCTACACAAATTGTGGGATTATATTATCTTCTAGGTATCAATATTATGGCTACACAATGTAGTGCCAGTGTTAATTAGCAGCAGCATTGCTATGGAAACAGTTACTATTAAACTTCTATAGATTCCTGATAATTAATTTTCCTCATTATTTTATGATTTTTCAAGTATTATAATAAGGCATTTATCAAGCAGTGGTATGGCCTTAATATGGCCATGCCGCTGCTGAAATAATATTGCACATATCCTGTCAAACTTATGTGACTTCCCTTCAGTCATAGGACAGAGGACACTGCATCCACAGGACACTGCAGGTTCCTATTATGGTAAGCTCAGAGTACCTGTCAGGATTTACCGTTCTCCTTTGAGAATCCCAGCCAGGATTTCCAGAAGATCCGCTACTAATGGATCTCACAGGCCAGGCCAGTATGGCTAGTAATAGTACAAGATTCCAGACCAGAACTTCCAGTGTACCCTGAGGCTGGAAGTGTTGTCTCTGATTCAGAGGGGTATTTAAGCCCTAGCTCTGCAAAGAGCTGTTGCTGTGTCTTTTTGCCAGCTTCCTGTTTGTCTAAAGAGCTCATACTTCTGCTGTTTTCTCGTTGCTGACCCAGACCGCCTGACCCTTCTTCGCTTGCTGCCCGCCCTGATCTTCTGCCTGGACCCGACTTTGCTCTTGTCTTCTGCGATTATCCTCTGATAACTCGTTGCTGACCTGTAACCATCTGACCACCCTCTGCTAGCCACCTGCCTTGAAATATGCCTGGATCTGAGTACTGTCTCCTCATTGGAGCCCTCCTGTTCTCATCCATCCCTTGGCGGGGCAACCCTGGGGATTGCAACCTGCTACCTGCAAGCAGCAAAGCCCATCTCCACCATCAGGAGCTCTGATAAACACCGGGTGTCCCTCAGGGAAGCTCGTGTCACTTGTCAGGGGGTGTCAACCTAACAGTTCCAAACTGCAGCCTGCATCATATGAATAAGCCACAAAATGTGGGTTGCAGTTTTAAGTAAAATTCGGGGCATTACGGAAAGCAGATATCAGTATCTTCTCTCCATTTTAAATCACCTCATACAGCAAGCCCAGACATATTTAGTACAAGTAATAACATGTAATAACATTTTCGCTAACTGATATAAGTGATCAACAGACAAAGGAAACAAGTAATATAAGACCAATGAGAGTTAAACACAATCTTTTCAAAAACTGAGCTCATCATATTTCCTCTCCCTGTGTTGCTTCCCCTGACTTCCCCATTGAGATCAATAACACAATTATCAGTCCCTAGATCAGCTAGGGTGCTAGGTGCAATCCTAGACTCTGACTGATCCTTCAATGCCCACATCCAATTACTGACCAAATCTTGATCTCAGTAACATGTCCAAACTTTGTCCCTTCATAACAAATTATACAACAAAGCTACCAATTCCCTCCTTCATCATTTCTCACTTCAACCACTGCAACTGCCTTTTCATTGGCCTACCTTTAGGCAGGCTATTCCCCCTTCAGTCTATCATGAATGCTGCTGCCAGACTTATTCACCTTACAAAACACTCAGTGGCCACCACCCTTCTCTACCAATCCTTCCTTTGGCTTCCAATAGCACATTGCATAAAATTCAAAATACTAACCACAACATACAAAGCCATCCACAACTCTGTCCCTGGCTACATCTCCAACATCATCTCATGATATCACACAATCTCTCCTCTCTGCTCCTCCCAAGACCTCCTGTTGTCCAGCTCCCTCAATACCTCCTCCCATGCTCACCTTCAAAACGTCTCCAGAACCTCTCCAATCACCTGGAACTCCCTACCACATGGCTATTTCCTACACTGTCTGCCTTTATGTGATCCCTGAAAACTCACTTCTTCAGGGAAGCATATCTTACCTCTTCTTAAAAAAACTGTACATTTACTCCTTCAATCAGCTCATCCCTCACAGTTATTTATTTCTGTATCACTTGCACCTCTTTGTAGATTGTAAGCTCTCATGAGCAGGATCCTTCTGATCCTTTTGTATGGCATTGTATTGTAATTGCACTGTCTCCCCATATGTTGTATAGTGCTACTCAAACTATATAAATTATGTATAATAATAATAATACTAATAATAATACTAATAATAATAATAATACATTTTAGGCCTTATTAGTCTTGATAGAATGTTCCAAAGAGGGAGTTAATGTTACCTTGTAATGTAATCAAAGTAAATACCCTTCGTAGTCATCTCCGAAAAAATACTGCCCGCTGTCATACTTCTCTCCTGAAAATACTATAACTATATGAAAACATATACCTTATATTTAAATTTTAACTCCGATCATTTTATATGAGTACTTAAATTGTTCACATTGACAGTGAGGTTTATTTGTTAGGATAGTAGACTCTTTTTAAAGTCATGACCATGACATAAAGTAGATGTTCACCGGTATTGGTAAACGAGGGGAAGTTGAGTTAATATCAATTATTCAGTCATTCTTACTCATCCATTCTCTTTTTTTTATTATTTCTTTGCACATGATTGGGTAATCAAAGTAAAAACAGCTTCAAATTATTTACTAACCTTAGTGAACATTTGTAATGAAAATAGTTTTGTTCCTTTAGTAAACCACCCCCAATGCAAATATATCACTTTGTAGCGTGAATTACTAACATTGAAACCAGAAGAAACATTTCCTGTCTGGCCTGTTTTACCAATGTCTTTAGCAGTTAAGGACTTACCTTGTACATGCTAAATCTTTCCCCTGCCAGGAACATACTCATGGGTGTATGTGCCATATTCAAAATTGCTTTCAGTAATGATCACTTTAACAAAACTTTATTTCTATAGCAATAGAAGCTGTAATAACATTGTTACTGGTCAAACAAAAATGATGTAACAAATCAATTTCTGCACTTCAAATATATATATAGAAACATGATATAACACTTGTACCACTATAAGAAAGCAATACCTGTCACAACCAATGTAATATCGCTGTATCATATCGAGGTATTACGAAAGTGATTAAAGTTAAAAGGCCCAAAGCTGAATTGAAAATGGAGCTGGTTGAAGGAAAAAAAAATACAATTTAAAGAAAATTCATTTTAATCTACAAGTAAGTCACAGTTACATTGTAAGTTACACAGCAGCTTTCTGGATGAAAAATAAAGCTGTGCAATTAATCTTGTATGTTTAAATTTCCTTTACCACATACTGTACAACTCAGTGACTTCTGCAATTTTTCTAGAGTTACATATGTAAAATACATTAGAAATAGGTTAAATATAATGTGGATTCTTATTTCAGGCATTTTTGGCATTGCTTTTCTTAAGCAGTATAAGCCCATGTAACAGTATAATACACAGCATCTCTTATTTATAGGCACAATTCCTGTCTAAAGACTCTGTGGGATGTTTAATTGGAATCTCCAGTGGAACCACTGACACACAAGCTCAAAATAGAAATGATTCGATGAAATAGTGTCTTGGATTTATTAGAAATGATTTAAAAAGAAGCTTTAATGTCATTGTTTTAGTTGTCATTTTATAACTCACATTTTTGTAAATATTTGTCATTTCTTCTGTGACGACACAGAAGAAATGACACTTTGCTACAATGTAAAGCAGTGAGTGTACAGCTTGTATATCAGTGTACATTTGCTGTCCCCTCAAAATAACTCAACACACAGCCATTAATGTCTAAACCGCTGGCAACAAAAGTGAGTACACCCCTAAGTGAAAATGTCATAATTGGGCCCAAAGTGTCAATATTTTGTGTGACCACCATTATTTTCCTGCACCGCCTTAACCCTCTTGGGCATGGAGTTCCCCAGAGCTTCACAGGTTGCCACTGGAGTCCTCTTCCACTCCTCCATGATGTCATCATGGTGGATGTTAGAGACCTTGCGCTCCTCCACCTTCCGTTTGAGGATGCCCCCACAGATGCTCAATAGGGTTTAGGTCTGGAGACATGCTTGGCCAGTCCATCACCTTTACCCTCAGCTTCTTTAGCAAGGCAGTAGTCATCTTGGAGGTGTGTTTGGGGTCATTATCATGTTGGAATACTGCCATGCAGCCCAGTCTCCAAAGGAAGGGGACCATGCTCTGTTTCAGTATGTCACAGTACATGTTGGCATTCATGGTTAATAAAATATTAACAAAAATGTGAGGAGTGTACTCACTTCTGTTAGATACTGTATAACATTTTTGTTTTACACTCTATGATGGTGGTGCCTCAAAGATTTAGGGATTGCCTAAACATAAGAGCATAAGAAGCAGTTTGTGTTGATCTCTATGGAGGTGAAAAGGGAATGAGTTACTACTCTGATGCATTCAGCTGTGTAAACTAGAATTTCAGCTACTAAGCTAGTTAACTAACTGGTTTTTTTTTTAAAACAGCAAAGTAGTTAAGATTAGCCTTGAAAATGTACAAATGCATAAATAGGTGAATAATTTTATAAATTAAATACAATCTTTAATTTTAAAATGAACATATATTACAGGGTTTTTCCAAGAGACTATGTATGCTTTCTAATTAAGGTGGAACTAAAGTGTTTTTATTGTTCTACTTGTTGGCAAGTAGGCTTTTATTGCAGAAGAAACTCTGGATGTCTCATTTGCTATCAAAGCTTTTACCTCACCTGCCAATAATTTTTTTCTAAGTGTACATGGATGTGGGATACAAGGAAGGATGTATCAACTTCCTTGCCTATTTGTAGAAATCACATCATCCTGGGAGAGGCCAAATCAAGATAGCTGAAGACACCGAATCCAGTAAAAGACATGGGGAAGATGTCAGCACAAATGGCACAACAAGGAAAATTGTGGATATTGCATTGCTGGAGGGGTGAAAAGTTATGAGAGAAAGTCCATTGTTTTTAGCACTCTTCGGGGGGGAAAGGGGTGACTTTTGCTGGTGTGCGGCTCCTGGTGAGTCCAGACCGGGGTATCCGATGTGGGAGTTGAAGAAACAAAAAGAAAAGGAACCGGGGCGCCACAACATAGCATAATAACTCAGGTGTGATGGGAGAGAAAGTAAGCAAATTTAAACTCACATGTAAGAGGATGGGCATGAGCTGCTATGTGGAATAGATGGTCTGATCCTGGTTGTGGTAGTGTTGCATGAGGGGGTTGAGTTAGTCCTCTGGTGTGGAGATGTTTTGAACAAAGTGGAGGTGATATGACATGATGAAAAATTGGTGAGACAATGGCAATCAATGTGATAATGAGCCTCCAACTACCATTCATAGGCTTGAAAAAGAAGACCCATCTTCAAAACATGTCCCATCACACCAGAGCTATTGCGCTAAGTTGTCGCACTCCAGTTACTTTTATTTTTGTTTTTTTCATTGCTGGAGGGGGGATCATTGGTAGCTAAATGTGCGATAATGTACAAATATAAGTAATGTATCTGTATATTTGTCTGGATTTCAGGTTTTTTTTTTTAGCAAATTATTTTTATTGGTATATAATACATAAGTTGCAATACAAGTATAGCCCCCCGAGTGGGCGTAACAGAACATGTCAGAAAATGAACATCAGACATCCTAGTACATGTCTATACATATGGCTATAACTGTCTATTTATATAAATCTATAACTAACCAGTACCCAACACAGTCGTATTAAAACTAGTTGCAATTCCCCATCCTTGGCGATAACGGAATGTCTACACCCCCCTAAGAACATCATTGCCATGCGATCGTTACCACGTTTCAGAGAAATCGGAGACAGAAGGCATAGATTTAATAAAATTAAAAAAAAGTACAATATAAGCAAAGAAAAGAAAAGACAAGACCAGCCCGGGACCTCTCATTTGTATCCCACCCAGGGAGCCCTAAAGAACATCCAAGGAACCCAGAGATCCTGCTATCTGGATTTCAGTTTTAAAGAGGAAATGAAGTTTGGAAGAAGTGCCCAGAAAAACACAGCTAGAGGGCAAAGGATGTCTGATGCAGGTCCACTTATCTGCATTAGACTGGAGGATGCCAAATAACATACCAAAGCTGGAGCACAAGGGGAGGGAGGTGAGTGCTGAGCACTACAGGACAGAGGATCAGGTGAGTATATCTTCTGTATTCTGACTCTTAGAGAAAAATTATCAGTTAACCCTTGCAGAGTGGGGGTAGCCCAGCAGCTTAATGCCAGCTTTGCTTAACCCCACTTTACATGAGTTTATGGTCTGTGTTACACCACAGTGCCAGGTACCTAGCTGTCATTATTTTGCCCAGAAAGCCATACACCAGCTTACATTTTTTTTGCACAGAAGCCATGTGGAATGCCACAAGGCAGTAAGAGACAGAGGAGGACTATGAGCAGGAGATTTGGGGTGCTGGAGGTAAGAAGGAAGAGGAGTGGTGGGGTGCTGATGGTGAGGAGAACAGTTGGTGTTCTGGTGGTGAGGAGGAGTGGTGTGGTACAGTGGGGTGGAGGAGGTTTGTATTGCTGGCAGGTAGGGGCAGGGAATTTGGGGACAGCTTCAAGGGGGACATTTCTCCTCTTACCTATACCAAGGGCAAAATTGGGGAATCTAATGCCACCATTATTTTTTAAGAGCACCAGGTAAAAATAAAGGAAAGAAGCTTGAAAAATGAAAACTAGTGTCACATTTAAGAACTGTTAAGCTGCAATATATTACTTTCTACTTTTTTTATTTTGTATTGTCAAACATACCTGTAAATCCTCACAGTGTGACTTTATAGAGCTCATGTCCTGGTATATGGTGCCAATGCAGTATTCTGCCCTTTCAATTACCCACACCATTGTCCACCATTCTTAGTGATACCATCACTTAATTACAATGCTGTGTACAAAGTCTCTACCTGTACCATTACAGTAGTGTCACACTTGATGAGAGGATGGTGGACATTTCCTCATGAGCAGTTCATGCCCAATACCACCCCTTCCCTCCCTTTGGGTGATTGACTGCTGAATCCACATACCCCCTATGCTTCCAGACCTGGGAGTAGGAAGTGAATGAAGGGCTGATTGAAGCCCTTCTTTGTTATGTGCCCTGTCAGGCACATAACAAAGAAGAAGATAAAAGTCATGTGACCACCGCAACAAAACAAGGAAGACCAGTATTTACAAAGTTTTTTAATAATATTAACACAAAATCATCTTATTACATGCCACATCTTATTGGTGTTAAATTACTATATATCTTAGTTCCATTTTGGGTTTTTTGGTGTACATTGTACGTGTCATCTATATACTGCCTTGCTCATTTTACAATTATGTTTATTTCAAACCATTAAAAGGAGATGGTGCTACATTCCATTACTTGTTTCTTTGAGCAAAACATGCCACCAGTATACGCTGTCATTTCTGGTCTTTTTTTATGAACTATTTTAATTGTTCTTTTTTTCTTGTTTTATACGTAAGGTGCAGATCATGGATAAACAAGATTTTGCATATTCAGGTACAGCAAAAATCAAGACTGCCTTTCCAATATGTATGCACAGGGCTGGACCTATAAGAAGGCAGCCTAAGCTGATTGTCTCAGGGGAATTTCATTGGGGGGTGGCTGGGTGGTGGAGGGTGTAGTCAAGCAGTGAGTATTCCATTTTTTGCATCTCTAACTCATTTGTAAAGTTCAGACTGTTCAGGGCTGACTGCTTCCATTTTAAAGCAATCAGGCAACATGCAGCTGTTACCTTTGTGTTGCCTAGTTGTGGAAAGGTAGATCTAATAGGCAATACAGAGAGGTCAATGGCAGATCCTGTTTTGCTACTTGGTTAAGTAGAGTTTGGACTGTTTTGCAAAAAACTTGTAATTTTAGATATGTCCAATATACACGAACCAAACCGTTGCTCACTCATGGTCTTCTCTCTCTTCCCTCCCCTTTCTGTTCCTCCAGCATTCATTGGAGAGAGAGGCAGAGGAGAGGGTGGCCATAGCCTGCTCTGGCTTCAGAGAAGCAGAGCCAGCTGTCATTCAGGCATTGGGATGGATTCCAACAATATAGTGAGTAGCTTTCCTGGCTGCAGCATGGCTCTGTGCTGTCAGCAAATAGGGGGCAGATGCTCACTTTGGGTCACAAGAATATATTAGTAAATGTACTACTTTAAACTAAAAGAGGACTAAATCCAAAACAAATATTTGGCTTTAGTTCTCTTTTAATACCACCAAAAGAAAGCATTTTGTGTCTGAAAAGTTATAAAATGGGTACAGGGTTGCATGATGGAATCATTGTTAGTCAAACTATCATAGCACTGAAATCTGAAAAATGGCCAGATAGTGAAGGGGTGTATACAGGCTGGTACCCATGTGGTTAAACTGCACGACAATCAAAACCTTTTTTTTTTCTTTTGGATAGAGTAAGAAATGATAAAGACCCCATCAGTTTGGATTTTGTCTGTGTCCTGACAGCGATATTCACCTCCAGTTTAGAGACACAACAGGTTGAGATCTCTCCAAAGCAAGGGGCATTCCCCATATAGACAGTTGTCATTGGAATGGGTTAACCCATTGGAACATCCCACCTCACCTCCTATTCTAATGTTAGTTCACAAAATGTTGACTTTGAAAAACTTTCCGTACCAGAGACAATGGTCACCAGGGGTGATAGAAAGGCTGAATCTTTCCATCAAGGACACAGACAGAAAACAAATAAAAAAAAGGTGTTCTAACCCTCTCACATTGTATGATTTTTGCTTTACAAAAAGGTTTTTGTTTTTTTTAGGAATTATTTAGAAGACATACTGAAGATTTCATAACTAGAACTTGATTTGTTTACAACCAAGGTAACACAGCAGAGTTTCAATATTATCAATTGAACTTTTTTATTAAATCAATCCATCCTTTACCAACTAAAAAGGGCAAGAAAATGGCAACATTTTTGCATCGATCCATGTATGGATCCCCTCCGGATCAGAATGGATGTCACCGTTGTGACATCCCAGTCCATGCAGTTTTTTCCTCCATCACAAGATGGAGGAAAAAAACTGACATTACTGGACCCATGATAGTGTATAGGCAGCTGAATCTCAATGGACAGCCGTCAATTTTCATCCGGGCGGTTACCCCAATCTGGCACAATCAGGTCTGGTGAAATGGATCCCTGATCCATTGGTTTCCAGAACTGGCCAAAGCCGGGGGTAACTGGGTGTTAACGGATGCCTGTCCATTTAGATGTGGCTGTCCATACACTTACTTTGATCTTCCGATTAGGTCCACCTGAATAACTGACAGGCAGATCTGTTCAGAAAGCTTGTGTGAAAGGTGCCCTAAAACTGTCCTGTTACTTCTTTGCTGTCTGAGTACCATCAGGGAAATTTTCCTTTACTTCTTGTCCCAGAAATGCAACAGGAAGAGGCATCTGGAAGTGAGAGGAATTCCCCTCATAGACAATTGCGCCCAATTATTTTTAATGACTACAGAAATGAAACCTCAAAAAGTTGTTAATCATTTTTCCTGCAACTTTTTTCAATTCTTTATTCCTCAGGCTGTATATAATTGGATTTATCAGTGGGGTGAGTACAGTGTACAGTAATGAAATGTATTTAGTAATGTTCAATGACTGTCCCCTACTAGGTATCAAATACACAAAAAGTAAGGTACTATAAAATATAGAAACAACAGTCAGGTGGGAGCTGCATGTTGAGAAAACTTTCTGTCTCCCAGTAATAGACGGGATTTCAAAAATGGTGACTATAATATAAACATATGATACAATGATGATGAAAAACGGGATGACACCAAATGTTAAAGTTGATAATGTAACTAATAGCTGAACAAGGGTGGTATCAGAGCAGGAGAGCTGAAGGATTGGGTCAAGGTCACAGAAAAAGTGATTGATGATATTGGGACCACAAAAATGCAATTTTGATATGTCTAAAGTATAAATCAGTACTGCTATGAAACTTAAACTCCAACTTGTGATAACCGTCATCCAGCAAAATCGGTGGTTCATTAACATAGAATAATGCAACGGCTTACAGATGGCCAAATATCTGTCGTAAGACATCAATGTCAGAAGAAGGCACTCAGAGGTTTCTGAGACAGCAAAGAAATACAGCTGGGTGATACAATTAGAAACAGAAATGGTGGTAGTGGTTTCCACCCAAAAAGCATGGAGCATGTTAGGAACAACATCAGTTGCTAACAAGATATCTGATACAGCGAGCTGAGAAAGGAAGAAGTACATGGGAGAATGGAGGGTTTTGCTGTAGGACACCAGCGTGATGATCAGGAGGTTTCCACATATTGTCACACAATAAAGCAAAAGAAATAGAAAGAATACCAAACAGGTTACATTCGGTGGAGTCCAAAATCCTAAGAGGTGGATCACAGTGATCATAGTCATATTTTTCTCATCCATAACCTAAGCATACAACATTACATTTTTTTTAGAGCAAGTTGGTCCAGCCAATAAAAAAGATCTGAGCTGAGAGTTTTAATAGTGAGGAGAAGGGCAAGTGGGAGAGCAGAGAGAAAGGTAAGAAAAAAGGTAAGATGGTATCAAAGTAGCTACAAAGAATGAAGGGCCAACAGAAGGAAAAGGGAAGGTGGGAAAATGACAGCTAAGTAAAAAACAATTGAAAACCATGACAACAAATATTCAGCAGTAGGAATAATAGAGAACACAGTGCACAACCTCCAATAAACACAGAGGCATAGTGGTTAGTTTTCTCTCATACTCCAAAAGAAGGAGGAAGTTTATTTGGCTCCTGTCTAAATTATCCCTGTATGCTTGGGAGATAGGGCTCTTTAGATTGTAAACTTATCGAAGGCAGGAACTGATATGAATGTGCAGTATGTAAAATCGCTACTTTTTCATAGTGCAATCTGGGGACCTCAGAGCTGCAAGGCAGAGGAGCTAACCACTATGCCACTGTGTTCCCCCATAGCTAACAGATAAGGAAAATCAATTATAGGTTTCTTACTATGTGTTATAGCACTTAACATATTGCTGTTACAAACCAAAAAAGAGAGTAGATTCATGTCCTCTCGGAATAATCACACACAATGCCAAATGTTCTTGGGTGGCAAAAATGGGCAAAGTTGGGCAAATGTTCAAAGTGTGTAAGCAGAAAAAAAAAGTGCAGAGCGCAAAACATTTCAGTGCTTTAAAATCTTCCATTACAACAAACATACTTTTTCATCAACCGATAAAAAAAATTAAATGTTACTAAATAGTTCAGCAACAAATGAAATTCAGCTCATTGTTAAGCATTTGCCCTGTAAATGTAGAATTTCCTGATCCTAGAGAATTGTGGCTTTTATAGGTAAGCATTATAATTTACACAGAGCTCCTGGGAGTATAAAATGCTTATTGATAATTCCATGGGATCTATTATAAATTGGTATATGGGGAAATTATCTTTAGAATATTTTTCTTTCATCAGATAACTACTTAACTAGTCAAACCATCAGAGTACACAAAGATTTTTTTTGGGCTCGTGATTGGGTGATGGAAGTCAAAAGAGCTTCACTTCAATCACTAAAGCTGCCCACACACCTTACAATTTATCTGCAGATTTTCTGTGGTCAGATGGAAAAGGTGCAACAGATTCCTCCATCTACACTTAACTGTGTGGATGGAGTAATCTCCACCTGGGCCAATCTGTTGCATTTTTTCCATCTGACCACAGAAAATCTGCAGATAAATTGTAAGGTGTGTGGGCACCTTTAGAAGAAAATTGCAAAGTGCAAATTGCCTTGCAAAGTGACGAGCCCATTTAGTTTGGTAATTCAACTCTGTTGTGTCATCTGTATAGTGTCTTGCCCATTGCAAACTTGATTTAAATCGCTAAAAAGAGGCCAGGTGTGAGATTTCTTTAATGTGATCTTGTTGTTTTAGAAAAACTTAAAAGCAGAACTCCAGGGAAAAAAAAATCTTAACCCTTGTAGTGGGACTAGCCCGACTATGCAAGGGTTAAGTGCTAATTTTTTTCTAGGTTAGTGAATGAAGTGAAGCTCTTTTGACTTCCATCACCCAATCATGAGCAAAAAAAAAATATTTGTGTACTCTGATGGTTTGACTAACTATATCACATATATACATACACAGGGGCATGGACATGAGGCATCCTGAATTCCCATCTCTTCAACTGTCCCTTACCTCTTCCAGCAGGGGTGCAGTAATGAAGCAGGGTGCCTGGCAAGTGGTCATGTGACCACCTGCCCAGCTTCCTGATTAGATGGGAAGCCACAGCTACACTCCATCGCAGATTCCCTGGCACTGAGGTTGCTAAGAGCTGTTGGGGAGATGCTAACATCTCTCCACCCAGCTCTTGGAGGCAACACTCTACACCAGCACCCCTCCTTCCCCCTCACTAAATGTGCGCTATTCAGCTTGGCTGCCCCCCACCATCCCAGCCACTGCAGGTGGCATAAAGGCTAGGGACATCCCTGTCCATAATAGAGCTTCCTTCTTCTCACCATGAATTGTCAATATAGCTGCAGGTAGTGGCTGATCCAGGGGGGGCAGCGGGGCAATTGCCCCCCCCCCCCCCCATGCTGACATCCCCAGTATCACGTACCTTGGTAGGGAGCCGAGTTGTGAGGAGGCCTCCTTTGCAGCACGAGTTCCACACCCCTGAATGTGGAGACAGGAGGTGGGGGAAGGGGGCGCTGCACCGGTGCCGGAAGATGCAGGCCACTGGGCAGGTCCTTGAGGCCCGTCTTCAGTGAAGCAGGAGTCAGGTGTTGATGCGGCTAGAGCAGAGCGGAGTCGGGCAAGCCAGGGTCAGCAACAATCGGGCGGCAAGGTACACAAGGAGCAGGCAAAGGAGAATCCAGGGACAAGCAGAAGTCGGAGGCAGGCGGCAGTCAGGCAAGGTCAAGGAATCCGGTCGATAATAATACGATAACAGACAGGGTACAAAACACACACACTAAGCTGAAAGACCACTCAGCAATGATTCTGGGAGTTGGGCCAGCTTAAATAGGATCATCCCCAGACAGAACGAGTCATTTCCTGTGCGCCATGTGAGCACGTTTTTGCGCATCCGGCTGCCGCTTGCGCATGCGCAATAGCTGCCGTTTCGCGCAAATGCGGTGAAAATGCCTATGCGCATGCGCAGTCCTACTTCCGCTGCCAGGCATGGTCTTACACCCAGGTTCAGGACTGAGTTCGGCTGAGTGAGCAGGCGAGGGGTGCGTGTGCACTTGCTTCGGTTCTTGTGTCTGTGAGAGGACAAGGCAGCGGCCGGGGGAATAGACGATGTGGGGTGGCATACGTAGGGGTGCACAAGTAAGTGGAGCTATGGTAGTGTTGCACACAGCCTTCTCTTCTCTGTTCTGCAGGGAGGAAAGACCTGTGTTACTACTGTCTCCCAGACTGCTGCGCATAGGTGTCAATGGAATGTGTGACCGCCCATTAGGTCAAGCATTGCAACACTTTGTCAGCTGTTCCAGGACAGATCGGCATTGCAGATCGCATGTGCAGGAGAACCCATCTACATTACCCCATCTGCCTGGAACATCTGATTGGTCCTCAAATGTCCCTCAAAATGTCACTACTGGCCTGGAACAGCAGACAAAGTGTTGAATGCTTGACATAATGGGCGATCACACATTCCACCGCTGTAAAACTGGGCAGGATTACGTTAAAATGTGTGACTGGTCATACATTCCAACGTTGACCCAAACTTTGATGTGGTGGCCAGTGGGGGCTCCCTGGTTGTTAATGGGGCTCTGCAATGGCCGCAGCTGACAGTTTGCTCCCGCCAAATTAAGCAGCTCGTGCCTGATCCAGCCAGCCCGGATCGCCTCGGTATGCAATCGGGGCTGGATCAGGCAGAAGCGGCCCTCTAATCAGGCATGTCTCTGGACCCCTGGTGAGAGCCTGCACAACTCACCTGAGAGCTCACACTGACCTCCTGAAAGCCAATACAAACCTCCTTACACCACAGAGCCCCCACTAATTATCAGGGAGCCACCATTGACTAGCAGATAGCCCCACTGGCCACATGACAGTCCGCATTGGCCACCTGAGAGCCTAATTAGTGAGCCGCCTCTGTTGCACCTGCACGTACCTGTGAAACTCTCCGGACCCCTGGTGAGAGCCTGCACAACTCACCTGAGAGCTCACACTGACCTCCTGAGAGCCCATACAAACCTCCTTGCTGTATTATGTATTGCTGGGATTTGTAGTCCTCTATAGCTGATGCCATTCTGCTGTTGGTATTCTTCATTGCTGTACAATGTATTTCTGAGATTTATAGCCCTCTGTAGCTAGTGATATTAATCCGCATTGCTGTATAATGTGCTGAGATTTGTAGTCTCTCTACAGCTTGGAGTTATTGGCAGAACTACCAGTGTCGCAGCAGTCATGCACACGCACAACACTGATGAGGCATCCCTCCACTACCAGTGTGTTCTAACTTTCCTCAACCCATAAATTTCTCGACATCGTGTCTTCGAGGTGTGCATGTCATGAATAAAGGGAGTCATGAATAACAGCTGATTCAGATGACTCAGCCCCACTGGAAGTGACACAGTCGAGAAAAAGTATAGGGTCGAGAAAAATTATAGAACACTGACTTTGACAATATCTGGCTCCTCCCACCGCTCACAGCCCATAAGCATGGACAGCCAGCGGCGGTCTACAGTGGGCGAGAGCGCCTAAGTACCGGATGTGGAGCGCAGTAAGGTTAGAACCAGGTAGGGAGCCCAGTGGGAGGAGAGCACCCTTCCCCAGCCAGTCACCCCTTTCATGGACTTCCTAGGAGAGCGAGGAAGAGCAGGGGGGGGAGTTGTGGTATGCAGGATTGTGGGCGGCGTTGGACTACATGTCTCAACCGCGGGCTGCCGATGCCGTCCCCAATTAAATCAGCTCATCGGTGCCCAGCGGTTGCGACATGCAATGAAAATTATTAGTGCCCCCCCAGATTTGACTGTTGTATCTTATGTGCCCCCCCACATATTGTTCCTAGAGTCGCCACTGCTGCTGCGGCTCCTGGGCTTGTCAGTGTCACCTGGGGGAATCTGAGAATGAAAAGGGAATCCGGAGGCCAAGGCAGCTCCTGGATATATATACACCTGTACTGCACTGATCTTCTCCTGAGAACATGGGGCATCTGCACTTGTAGTCCTTGGGGGTGCTTGGTGTCACCCACTGCTTGTTGTGCCAACATATCCCTCAGATGAGCACATGGTGAAGCCTGTAGGAAAAAGGTTTCAGCTGGGGCACTGATCTGAGTATTGTTATTGGTGCCAATACTGGGCATGTTTACGAGTATGAGTACTCGTAAAAATGCCACTATACAAAAGACTAATACAGACGCTTTAAATTTTCACATTGATACAGCTGCGTTAGGTCCCACTCTTGCTGGGGACCTTTCGGCAGTCCTTTATAGCTGGTGGTATTCTGCA